ACTGTTTGCCGACAAAAAAAGTCTCTGTCTGACTGAGACCCGGTGTGTCTAACTCAATCACAGTGGTTAATATTGTTGTAAATCATTGTGTCAAACCCTGAGTGTTTGCAGAAACATTTAAGACTGACTGGTTTTCAATAAATGATTGATCTTTTTTGTGTTCATTTTATAAGTTACACATATTCTTAGTAAAAAGTGCAAGACATGTTAAGTCCTTTACTTTAACCTGTTGAATTACAATTACAAAGTGTACAGGGAGTCACATGACATGACAGCAAATCATCAGACTTTCTGTCATATTACACTTTCATTTTTGATTTCAGTGTTATGTCATGCTAATATAACGTCTGTCCAAAGGTGGTGAACCTGTTGATGGGCATTCTGTTGACTGTGGCAGTCACTCACCCTGAGAACGTCCCTATTGTTGACCTGCAGTATGAGGTTATTGAGCATTACTTTGCGTCAGACAGGATGTCAGGTTTGTTTTGAGATTTTTCAGTCATTAATACAAATACAATATTTTGTAATGCTAGGCTATATTTTTGTGCCACATATTTAATAAATCATTTTTAAAACCTAATTATACATGTTTATACTTGTTTGTATTTTGTATATTATTTTATATATGTTATATACTTTCTTCACCCCTGTAGAGAATGCTTGTGTGGGCTTTGCCATCTCTCTTCTGATGCTCACTATTAGTGCCATGATGGTGTATGGAGCCATTACTGTAAGTTTATATGATGACTATCTCTGGCTATTAGTTTAATACCTGATGTACACAATAAAATGTATTCTTTGGTACTGTAAATAGGGAAATCATGATGCATATACTAGGACTTAAACATAGCAAATCTCTGACTTTTAAAGGCAATACACTGAATTTCGTTTCGTCCATACTATCAATGCCGAGTTTTTAAGTTGGGTTAATGTATTATGAGAACAATCCATTTCATCATTGTGTTCATCTGTATTTCACAGTCTTGCTTGATGTCATCTTTAAAAAACAGGTTGGATCTGTAAGCATATGTTGTATAGTAGTTCATTGCTGTCACATTTGCCACACCTGAGCATGTAAGTGAGCATTGAGCTGCTTTAACTGTGTTTTAGACCTCTGACCGCAAATGTTAAACCTTATAGGCAGTGAAATGCTGTTCCAGTAGAGTCACAGCCTTGTCAGAATAGCTCCCTTTCCATTTTAGGCATTCTCTTAGTTATTCAGCACAGCTCCTTTTATTTGCTCAAACTGGATGATTCAGTATTCCCTCGAGTCTTACAGGTTTGCATCAGCATTAAAATGGTGAGAGACAGTCTTATGACATGACTGTTATTTTCCCCTCTGGCACAGAATCGTGATGGCTGGCTCATCCCGTTCTTTTGCTACCAGTTGTTTGACTTTGCGCTGAGCTGCCTGGTGGCCATCAGCTCCCTCACGTACTTGCCCAGAATCAAGGACTACCTGGACCAGCTGGTCAGTCTGCCGTCTACCGCCTGTCTGTCGCAAGCCTCTGACACTAGAAGCTCATTTAAAAACATTTAACCTAAAATCTCTTGTCTCTTTTAGCCGGACTTCCCTTACAAAGACAACCTGCTCTCTCTGGACTCCAGCTGTCTCCTTCTGTTTGTGCTCATCTTTTTTGCCATCCTCATCGTCCTCAAGGTAGATTTATGAGCCACACCTACACTGTAAAAAAAAATTGATGGTTTAACTTAAAAAAGTAAGTAACCTGGTTGCCTTAACATTTTAAGTTCATTGAACTGGAAAAAGGGAGTTAATACAATGAAGGAGATTGATTTAATCATCAGAAACTCAAAATTGTATGTTATCTGAACTAAATAAATTATTTAAGTTGATTTGACAAAAGAAAAAAATGTTATGATTACTACACTGTAAAAAAATATTGTTGGTTTAACTTAAAAAAGTAAGTAACCTGGGTTGCCTTAAAAATTTAAGTTGATTGAACTGGAAAAAAGTGAGTTAATACAATGAAGGAGATTAATTGAACCATCAGAAACTCAAAATAATAAGTTATCTCAACTAAATAAATTATTATAAAGTTGATTTGACAAAAGAAAATATGTTGTGATAAATCTTGAAAAATATTTTTTTTTACAGTGTAATGAATCCTATATATTTCATTTATAAGATCCAGGTTACAGACTACTAATGTGTGTTTTTTACAGGCCTATTTGATCAACTGCGTGTGGAACTGCTATAAGTACATAAACAACAGGAACACCCCGGAGATTGCCGTCTATCCTGCTTTTGAGACTCCCCCTCAGGTATGTCCATCTTAACAGAGTTACCAACTTCCTGAACCTAGGCTACTTTGAGTTGAGTAGATTATATTAAATACAACAACACTACACCATTAACAGGCATTATACAATCTGATGAAATGTGGCATTCTAAAGTAAATAGGGTTTAATTTATGCCTAATTGTGTACAGTTCATCATTATTCTGATGAAAAACATGGTTGTCTTTGCCTCTGAAACATCTTTCTCTTGTTTTTCCAACACCTTGTAGCTTATAACGCCCACTCTTTGCAATCCAAACCTTCACAAACAAATTCCACTTAATATTTTTGTCAATTTTGCCATTTCATGACCAGCATTTTGTTTTTATCTTATTAGAATATTTTCTTTCTTTCTTTTTTTTTTTGAGTGCAAATTAAAATCTGTTATTTTAGTATTATTTATCTACTATAATAAATACTAATTTGTAAAAACTACATTTACTAATAATTTGAATTAGGCTTTTAAAATGTTTTATTTAATTGTTTTTTTTCTTAATTTCTATATAGCTTTAATTTATTTTTATTTCGGTTTTAGGTTGAGTAATTTTAGTACTTTAACTTATTTATTTCACTTAGTTGTCAAGAGAACATTTCTCACTTTCATTAAATTTTTTCATCTAATAATTATATTTTATTAAAATGATTTTCAATAGTTTTAGATAATAATAATAATACTGATCTGTATAGCGATTTAATAATTATCTCTTATTAGTTCTATCCAAATAGACCGTTACACAATGTTTTTTTTTTTTATGGACTCCTTAACAAACCAGCAGCTGGACAATTGTTTGCTTCTTACCCCAAAGGAAAAGTGTACTGTGTGGTTTTGTTCGGGTAAACGACCTCAGACTGGCTTTATTTTAATGGTGTCTCCTTTTAATCATAGTACATCCTTCCCACCTATGAAATGGCCATGACAATGCCAGCGAAGGAGCCACCTCCTCCTTACATGCCAGCTTGAATCCCCCTGACTGGGTTTCGTCAGTAAAAGCCAGTGCAGACTCCCATCTTTGCCTTTCGGTCCTGCCTTCCATCCCAACAGTTGGAGGGTGTTTAGACTCCCAGCATCCACTCATCACATCAGCAGCTTAGACTTACCCATGACTATTTCTTTCGCATGACTCTTGTAACAGCTCGTCACTGCAGATCTATTTTTGTAAAACTATAGGAAAACAGTTGAAGCGGCACAGTGTTGGGGAAGAGATCGTTTGTGGCAGGATTTATTTTTAATTACTTAGTGTTGTATCTGAGATATGAAATGCCATTCTCTTTTGTGGACATCATGACTCGGGCTCTGCAATAAATTGTGCTTACGACAGAATTATGTAGTTAACTGATAGTCAAATCACTAATGAAATGGTTCTGAGATGGGGCAGATAATCTTAAATGACGTTTTTACCAATGAAAGCTTTCACTTTACCTGCCACCGTGAGATCTTTATTTTTCCATGCTTTTCAATGCTATATTTTGTTCCTGGTGTCTTAGTAGAGGATGTTTTGTGAAAATCAACATTGACTGGGTACTTGCATTTAAAATCACCACCCTTGGCTAATAAATAGGTTTTGCTAGATTAAAAATGTTTAGACAATCCAGTGTAATGGTTAAAATATATATTTTTTCCATTGTGTACTTTTATTTGTGGACGTAGGACTTTCATCCTTTCAAAAGTGAAAAAGCTCAAAGCACTTTTTATCTTGTTTATATAATTTGTGCGTGTGTGTGTGTGTTTGTTTGTTTTCCATCCATTGAACCATGTGCACCATCATGTAAGCAGCTGTCACAGTGATCTGTTGTCATGGTAATGCTGGTTAACACACGAGAGGAAACTTTCCTCACATGAATGACAATGATTTAGAATTAAAAAAAGAAAACTGCTAGTGTTGTATAAATCAATGGATGCATGTTATTTTATTTTATGGTCCGTTTCTTTTCTTGTACATGTTCTGAATCTAATTACTTCAATAAACGTTTCAAAAAATGTAATCTGCTATCAGACTTTTTATCTACGATGAACATTCGGTTCATTAGTATTACTCAGTTTGTACGTGAAAATGTAAAATATGTGATTAGAATAACTGCCTTAAACGAGTAGTTCACTTTTCACTTTGAAGAAGTAATCATTTGGTTCATTCAACGAACAAAACGAACGAATTGACTCGGAAAAAGATTCGTTCATTTTGAACGAGATCGAACTGGAGAGTCATGAACGTGCAAGGCAAGCATTTGAGCTAATAAAACTTAAACTTTTTTTTTTTTTTTTTAAATGAGCGATCGTTTCGCTTGATAAGACCCTTATTCATCGTCTAGAATCATTTAAAGCCCTTTGAGCAGTTTGCACTGAAAGTGTCTTTTGGACCTTGAACCGTTTGGTTCCCACTGAAGTGCATTATATGGAGAAAATCCTGGAAAGTTTTCATCAAAAACCTTAAATTTCTTTTCGACTGAAGAAAGTAAGACATGGACATCTTCGATGACATGGGGGTGAGTAAATTATCAGCAAGTTTTTTTCAAAAGTGAACTACTCCTGGAATGTTTTGCATCCTTTATCAGGTATATTGTGCAATGTTATGTGTAATTCAGATTCCTGGTAATTTGAGGTGAGGCTCCCCCTCCTTTATTTGGATTGGACAAAAATCTGACGCATTTCTTTTCAACTCTATAAATATGCGGTCTAGGATGCTGTCAGAAGCATACTGGTGTCAGTTAGATGAGAGGACCGCACACAAACCTGGAGCAGACTTGAGAAGAGCGCAGAAACAATGAAGTCCTTCATTGGGAGTTTGGTATATTGCTTCTCTCTTTTGCTGGTGGATCTCTGTGAATCCTATGACCTGAACAATCCATCCTACATTTTGGCCCAAAGTTATGCACAAAGAAGAAATCATGCACTTCCACACCGGACATTGAACCCAGCAGGTAGGTTTCTGAACTTAGTCAAACATGTCAGTTGGAACTAACATAGTGGTTTAAGTTATGTATTATTCAATTTTCAGTGTTTGCATTATATCTTAAACTGCATCACAGCAATGGAACATTTAAGGTTTCATTATTTTACTAGATGTGTTACAAAAAATATTTACATAACAGTATGTAATTCATAGTGAAATGCACAATGTTAGTAATATATTTAGTGCATTTATTATCGCAAATGTGAAAATAAAATGCATCCACATTTAAGCATTGAAGGGCTTGTTCACCCCAAAAATAAAAATGTCTTCATTTACTCAACATGTATGACTCTTTCATCTGTGGAACACAAGAACATTTTGTGAAAAATGCCTCTCGGTCAATGAAGAATATTTTGTGTTACACACAAGAAAGAAATGCATACAGGTTTAGAATCACATGAGGGTGAGTAAATAATGACTGAATATTTTTGTGCGAACCGTCCCTTGTGTATGCATAAAAAAAAGGGCATGAATGCTACAGAAAAAGCATTCGTGGGATAATATCTGAGTGGCATGTATTTTAAATGTTTAACAATGAGAATTCGGGGCATGTATTGCAAACAATGCCAATTGTATTTGTTTGACTGACGTTCTGTTTGCCTAATTTCCTGTTCCCCTTCAACCTTCTGATGGTCCGTAGTGTACAGGACTAAGTACTGGTTAGATGGACCTGATCACCCTCACAAACAGAGGAGGAGGATTTTGCCCCATCTTATCCCAGTAGGTTATCCAGGACCCACAGCTCCTTCTCAGCGCACAGTTTATGACTGGCTCAAAGACATACCAACCACAAAAGTTTATAGTAAAAATAATGACCAATCCCCACCTGTGGAAATCAAGCAGCTGAAAGGTGAATGGGCGCCAGTAGTTTGTCGAAAAGTTCAATATCCAGACCAAGCGGTTGTAGTTACAGGAGAATCAGGGGAAAATACAGGCGTTTCAGTGGTGGTTCCACAACAACAGTATTCAGGTCCAGAGAAATCAGTGGTTCAGTCAACAAATAACCAACCGACCGCTCCTGAGACAGGTTTTCAGCCATCAAAGACACATTCCTTGAATTTGGCAGGCAAACAATCTTTGAATCTCTCCCTACCTCGGGCATCCGTGCCAAAATCCTTGTCAAAATTGGCACAAGAACCTTATTCACAAGACACCTCAACCCAATCCCTTCCAACCACTACCATGACACCAGAGGCATATCCTCAAAGTACCTTCTTCGAATCCCTGCCGACATCCACCCTTACACCAGAGACATACTCCCAGAGCACCTTATCCCAACCCATGCCAAAGTTCCCCTATACTGAAGGGCCAAATCCTCAAAGAATCCCACCCCAATCAGTCTCACTAGAGCCGGATGCCCAAGGTGCCTTCCCCGAATCCCTGCCATCATCCACACTGACATCAGAGACCAATCCCCAAAGCGCTTCACCTAAGTCTGTACCAATGTCCACTCATAGATCAGGGCCAATTTACCAAAAGATCCCATCCCAATCTCTGTCAACATCCAATCTGACACAAGAGGCACATCTTCAGACCGTCCCACCACAGTCCAATGAGCCACAAGAATCTCTACCAGAGGCACCAGGCAGGATTATTACCCACGGCAGGATAGCCATCACAGGGTCGACAGGTATAATTCCATGAATAATTCTACTGCTTAGATTAACCCTCCATCTATTCATGCAGGGGTGACCAATCCTGCTCCCGGTGGGACAATGTCCTGCCATTTAGATCCAACCTGCCCCAACATACTTGTCTGAAAGTTTTCAGTAATCATGAAGACTATGATTAGCTGGTTCAGGTGTTAATAAGGATTGGATCTGAATTCTGCAGGGCAGTGGCCTTTCAGGGGTAGGATTGGACACCTTTTACATAAAAGCATAGGGATCTTAAGGGTTCTTTGTTTCAAAGGTGGATGAAGCAAAATGGCTTATTACTATTGTAAGGCATCTTACAGATCAGAAAATGTGACCTTTCATATTCCAGAAGCATTCTAGTATTCAAGTATGTCATTTTGCTGAGGTCCAAAGGGATATTTTAGGAGCGACCACACTAATCTAACTGTTTGCATGTAAAGTATATGCTTTACTCATATTTACCATTCCAATGGGTCAAGCCATATACCATCAACTTAACACCATACCATTTTACTAATCCTTTAATGGACTAAAACACCAGTTATATCATATAGACATTGAGTAACGCAACTTCTAAAGTGTTTAATTTTTACTGAACTCTCAGCAACAGATTCACAGTGTAGGAGCCGCCCGTTGGACCTGGTCTTCATCATTGACAGCTCACGTAGCGTGCGTCCAGGTGAGTTCGAGAAGGTCAAGATCTTCCTGGCTGACATGGTGGACACTCTTGATGTTGGTCCCGATGCCACACGTGTCGCAGTGGTGAACTACGCCAGCACCGTCAAAATCGAGTTCCTGCTGAAAAACCATCTGACGAAGGACACTATAAAGCAAGCCATCAACCGCATCGAACCCTTGGCAGCAGGAACCATGACTGGTATGGCCATCAAGAAAGCCATGGATGAAGCCTTTACTGAAAAGTCAGGTGCGCGGCCTAAATCGAAGAACATCTCAAAGGTTGCCATCATTGTCACCGACGGACGTCCTCAAGACCAAGTCGAGGAGGTTTCGGCTGCAGCACGGGCGTCTGGGATTGAGATTTATGCCGTTGGAGTGGACAGGGCTGACATGGGGTCACTGAAGCTCATGGCCAGCAATCCACTTGACGACCATGTGTTCTACGTGGAGACCTACGGTGTTATTGAGAAGCTCACCTCGAAGTTTCGGGAGACGTTGTGCGGTAGGGTTTATGCAAAAAAAGGGGAGATGGGGCTCTCTTTTTTTTCTTTTTTACAGGATATATATCTCAATCCTTGGGAGTGGGTGATGATTCATTCTCTGGAAACTCAGTTGGCTCTGAACACCAAATTTGAAAAAGTAATATTCATCAGACATCAAAACAATTCAAAGAACATTGTGATCATTTGGCATTCAAATTTATTGTGTTTTCCAGAAGTTTGAATTGTCAGATCGCAACACATTCTGAAGGAAACCTTTCTTTAGTATGTGAGTGCTGATAAAGCCCACCGATCATTCAAAGAAGCATTCTTCTAAGTTTGGCTCATTTGAATGCTTTGAATCTGCTAATATATGTGCTTTGCATCCTATTTTTGTGGAATGAAGGTCTTGGAATGGAATGCTTTTGAAATTTAATATTGTCAATGTCTTTTCACAATTGTTGTTAGATTAGGGTACTTCAAGTATGTTTTTTATAGAAACCTCAGATAACTGAGAACTTTGAATATTTGACTGACTGCTTGTGGATAATTAAAATTGTTTGTCTTTTTCAGGAAGAGAGTCGATCTTTTGGACATTAAAATTGCTCAATCAAGTGCTGCGCTAGAAAAGTGCTTGCTAGTTACGCCTTCAGAGATTACAAACAATTTGCTTAGTGCAGCTGTCAGCTAGTCACCATAACATATTGATATAAATGCTAAATGCTATGCAAACTAAGGGCAACAAATTTGCTGAGAAATTTTAGCACACAAGAGCCAATAAAAGTCCCATAAAGTTCCCAGTGTGTCTTTTGGGACTTAGATAGATATTTCGAACAATCTTCCCACCAAAAATAACCGCTAGATGTAATAAATCCAGGCAGATGCCCATGAACTTAATCTTGCTAGAGTGGCTCATCACTCAGTCGAGTAATGAAAGCTTGTTCCAGGTATGGACGCCTGTGCCATGGGACATCACTGTGAGCACATATGTGTCAGCAGTGGCTCCTCCTTTTACTGCAAGTGTCGGAAGGGCTATATTTTGAACGAAGACCAGAAAACATGTTCCCTAAAACGTAAGAGCCAGAAGATTATGCTAACTGCTTTACTTCAGATTTTGAAGACATACTTAGTACAAACATCATGTTTGATTTTATTTAACCGTGCCTAATTTCAGCTCAATAATAGAGAATGCTTACATTGCAACAATACTTAGTATACTATACTATACTATACTATACTATACTATACTATACTATACTATACTATACTATACTATAGTTCTATTTGACTAACCTGTTTAGCTAGCAATTGCTTGCCAGCTTTTTACAAGTGTTCTGACTGTATTACTTGATATCATATGATGGCAGTCTATGATTCATTTATGGTATTGTGTGTGCTAAGTTACAGGTTACTTGAAGATGTTCCAAAACCTAGTGAGCTGCCTTGATGTTTACTGCCTACATAGGCAAAATATGCTAACATGCTAAGCTAACAAAGCAAATCTCCAAAACAGAAAATGTTTGTTAAAGTCGTCTATTTTTGTTTTTTACATGTTTGGGCTGCTGCCTTAGATTTAGGTGAAAATGATGTATTTTAGAAGGCAGCATAATCTTGTTGTGGCTGATGTTTTGGAACAGCCTTTGTGCTGTTTGGGCAGGTCATTAGGTTTTGGAATAGAGCTGTAATTTAGGTATGTGTGTGCAATGTAACATTGTTTTCTCACTAGCAGCTGAATAGCCACTAATTCAACCCATGCAAAATCACTGTTGAATTACCGTGGACTTTCCTGTTCTGTATATCCGTTGCCAGAACAGAAAAGCAATAACATCAGTGTCAATGTTGCTGTAAATCTGAGACAGATGACAAACCATAGCTAATTTATTAGATGCAGATTATATTTCATATGAGGCCAATGGAGCAGATTGCTTAGAGGTGTATTGGTTACATCTTGACTTTAAAATGCCTGGAAACTTTGCCTGACTTTTTAGGTAAAACAAGACACATTTATTTGAAAAATGACATTGCATAAAATATCAAGACTCGTTTTAATAATAAGTTGTTCGAATAAGAATAAGTAGACTAGAATAAGTTGTATCTTGACTATAAGTTTAACTGCAATTTTTACTTAAAATGAGTGAAAAAAAATCTGCCAGCACAATATGGCAAAATGCACTCGTATCGAAAATACATAAGTCTTAATATTTAATGCAGTCTTGCTTCTTAAGTAAATTTGGGTATTTTTTTTTTATACGAACTAGAATACCTGAAAAGAAATACTTGTTAAGAATAGGATTGTATGCAGTGTGAAGTTCAATTTCATTGAAGATGTTAGTATTGAATTAGTTTGAGACGGTAAGCTTGGCAGTGTCATTGTTTAAATCCTCAAACCTTGCAGTGTAAAAATCCCTGTTTTTCTTTTACCGTGCACAGCATTGTCAGTGTTTATGTCCTATGGCTTATTCCAGATGTGGATGCCTGTGAAATTGGACACAGCTGTCAACACATTTGTGTGAGCAGTGGCGACTCTTATCACTGCAAGTGCCGCTCAGGCTTTGTCTTGAACGATGACATGCAAACATGCTCCATTAGAGGCGCTGGTGCTTACGGACTTGGTGAAAGTGTACACAGGGGTGACCAGAACAGAAGGAATGATGGCGACCAAAATGGTGAAGGTAGCGCTAGTGAGTTACGATCAGAAATGACTATGACTTTATTCATGCCATTTCGTGATCTGAAAATCAAATAAAAATTCCATCAAACGATTAAAAGTAGTTACCTGACTGCTATTGGACATTAAGATTATTTTAACAAAAAGTTTTTAAAATTGTAGCTTTGCAGCAATGTGTCCCAATAGGGTTGGGCGATATGACCAAATTCTTATTTTGCGATGTGAGAAATGTATTTCACGATAACGGATATATATCATGATATAGCTATTTTGTGCTGTCTAATTTATGTTATTAAAATAAGCAAATTACAAATAATAGGAAAAATACAATAAAACCAAAAAAAAAAGAGTTAAACTAATTAAGGCCCTGTTTACACGAGAATGCTCGCAGGTGAAAACGTAAAAATATCTTATCAGATGTGCCTTTCGTTTACACGGCGACGGCGTTTTGGGGGCTTAAAAACGCAAAAAAGTGAAACCACCCTCCAGAGTGGAAATCTTAAAAACGCTCCACCGCCGCGTTCCCGTGTGAAGGGTAAAAGCGCAAAAGTCTGCTTGACAGTGAAGGTTGTACACAGGCGCGCGGACTTGATGTTGTTGTGTGGCAGTGCTTCACATCGCCACCTAGCCGCCTGGAGTGTACACTACATTGAAGTTCACACACTTTTGCATCACCATATGCACGCAGATTCCCCACCCAAAACACTCGTCTAAACGCAGAATAAAAAGTGATAACGCAACGCCACTTTTGTGTTTTCTGTTCAGAATCATTTCCGTGTAAACAAGTTTTTAAGTAACCAAATGTAACCAGTTTTTCAAATGTAAAAAAAAACATTTACTGCATTCATAAAATATAAATGTGTTCTTATTAAAGCTAAAAACAAGTTATTGAGTCAAGAGAAGTAAGTTATTTTCTCTTTTGTTTGATACATATTAATGACACAGATCAGCAGGTAACGATTAATTAGGCTGCTGTCACTTTAAGACCAAATGCACCAATCCATTATACTGACATCCGGTTTACACCCAACTGCTTACTTTCCTAAGGGACATAACAAGCTGTGTTTACATGAATACGCCACACGACGGGCATTTTGACATATAATTGCTTGCGTATTCGACCATTCAAGCGCAATAAGACGTGAATTCGTGATCGCCAGCTTTCTGTGTGCGCACTTTAGCAGTGTGCCAGTCATCCTTTTCAGGATGTATTGTGCTTATAACTGTTTTTAACATCCAGCAAGTCCCAGTGTTTAAACTCACTCTGAAGTGTCAATAGTGCTAATGCATACCACGATATACCCAACGTTTTACACCGTGGTAACGATATTGTTATACCGCCCAGCCCTATGTCTCAATGGATATTCTGAAAGTCAAGTAGGAAAAAATAATCCCAGACCTACTGGCCATCGCTATGGCTTATTTCAGGTGTGGATATCTGTGCGTTGGGCCACGACTGCCAACACACTTGCGTGTCCAGCGGTTCCTCCTATTACTGCACGTGTCCCCCTGGCTTTGTCTTGATGCAGGACACAAGATCATGCTTCAAAGCCAGTGACGCTGATGGTGATGGTAGTGCCAGTGAGTCTTCTGTTTCAGACCTTCATAAATGGTATTATCATCATACCATTTTATGATAGGTTTCTTTAGCCAGCTCAGGATTACATAAATATGTTTGTTGTTAAAAATGTAATATTCTTTTAAGAAGAATCGAATAGTTCTGTTTTCTTGTATGTGTTGCTGAGGTTTGTTAGCTTCAGGGCTCTAGAGTTT